CTATCTTGCCTTTCTTGGGATTTTGCCTCAGCCTCTTCCTGCACTCCTAGGGTATCAGCTCCATTCTTTCTCAGCCTCTTCCACTCACTCATTGCATAGCTGCAGTTCCTGCTAACCAGTTGGTTCCGCCTGGGGAGAGTTTTCTCCACTCCCCTTGCAGGGCAGACCCTGACTCAGCAGGAGATTCCGTGCTCCCTGCAGACCCCTCCTCGCAGAGTCCTGGTCAAACTCACTTCCTGCTGCTCCTTCCCAACTGCCTTGGGATCCCTGTTCTAGACCTACCTTCCTTCAGGGAGCCTCTACTTGCCAGTAGCCCACTCAGCTCCCTGACTCCCACCAGGCTCCTCTCACTGAGTGAGTGCCAGAGATCTGCTCTCCTTCCTAATTAGGCCTGGATGCCGGGTTCAGCCCTTTTAGCTCCTCCCACCAGGTTTGACGCCTAATGCACGTGTAGTGGTGCAATGCTGATTGTGCCCACTAGCTCTCATTAACCCCTTTAGGCCCATTCACATAGCACTTCCCAATCTCACAGGGATGTTGTTAGTAGAAATACACTAAAGCTTGTGAGGCGCTCAGATACTACAGTGATGGGGGCAATATAAGTACCTCAGACAGACAGCTACTGCACTGGATACTCAAAAAGGGACCCTCAGGAATGACTAGCTGTAACAGCTGTCTTGTTGGACATTTTTAGTGTTTTGCTTAAAACTGTTACACTTTTTTTTCTCTGTGTTTGGCAAGATAGATTACATATTGTCTTTCTAGATGCTTCCATGCAATTTATGAGTGAAACCAAGTATTGCAAATGGATGATTGGTGGTCTTGGATTTGCCCAAGTGAGGAGCAAGGGCATTCAATAACATGCAGTATTTTTCAGAGTTCCTCTCCATGTCTCCTTTGAGAATGAGAAGAAAAACAGATGTTTGGTCTGATTTGTAAATAAGTTAAATATGTGCAATTCCTTTTTCCAATCCACCTACCCACAAAATACTTCACAATAATTCCCTGTCTCACACATTAGAGCATCTAATACTCTATGGTGTCAATCCCTCACTCTCCCTCCCCACACCAGACATATATCTACTCTTTCTACAATCACCATATCTCCCCTCCCTTTATCGTCATGGTCCTATTGCAGCTAGGTGGAAAGGCACATTAATCAACCTACTACAGTGATATCTATGATGATTCTCAAAGATATTTAGGCTCCTAACTTCCCTTGATTTCAATGTAAGTTAGAAGCATAAATACCATTGAAGATCTGGGCCTGCGTCTCTATCCTATCAGTGCCAGAGAGAAGAATTCAAGACCCTCCTCCCATTCTCTAGCCCCACAGGCCCCTAACACCCAGGGGTACAAACTACTTCCGTAATTCATAAATAAGTAATCAGGAGCAGGGCTACTGTATATAATGTCTAAGTTTATGTATATCTGTGAACAGGCAAGAAGATTATTATTTTTTTGCATCGGTAACATCTCAGAAATGTGTTTAGAAAATTGATGTGTCTCTAGCCATAATTGGTGAGATTGGTTTCTCTGCTTTCTAATTCTTCATTCATCAAGTATTCCTTGGTGTTAGCAAAGAAACCTGTTCCCATTAAGATTTTCTAGGCAGAAGATTTTACATAGAACTTAAGATAAAGATTATTTCTTGCCTAAATACCATAAATGCTAGTATTACCTCTATAAAACAATTGGCCTACGTATTCCTCTAAAAGGTAAAACCAGTTAATTGAAAGTGATCCTTGTCTTTTCATACATTATGGCCCAAATACTTACTCCTACGTGAAGCTAGCATGGAGACCCTTCCTGTGGCATGGAATGGATAGGCAAGTATCACTTGTGAGTGCACACTCAGCAGATTCCTTGCACAGTCCCTATGTGGGGTTTAAATGGTTCAGAGGCCGTTGCACCCTTCCTCCACACTGCAATGAATGTTGTCTGTTGACTGCTGGGAGAGACACACTCAGCATCTATGAAAATCAAGCCACTTATGTTTAAGTGCCTATATATTAAAATTTAGGGCCCAGATTGTCAAAGGCACTTAGGTGCCTGACTCCCATTGAAATCAATGAGAATTAGGCAAGTAAATACCTTTTGAGGATCTGGGCAAAGGAGCCTAATTTTATACACCCGGCTTTCAAAGTTGACCTCTCTTTCTCTAGCTCAAAAATGGAATACCTAAATAGCAACCCCATTCACCATTTGGATGAAGGCTGAGGTAATTACAATGATTAATGTGAAGGCTGAACTGATCTAGCATCCTTTTTTAAAGGGATTAATGGATGAAGAAAAAGGGGAAATTACAGTTCAGATATCAGATGTAAATATCTGTTTATCCCTTATTATTGAATATAGTACATTGCATCTGTAACGTGTTACTTTTAAACAGAGCTAAATTGTTAGGAAATATGTGTGTGGGGGGGGGAAATGCTGTTTACTGAGTTGTTCTGTGATACTACTTAAATAAATCATTTCACGCTGAGCATAGGACAGAGAGACACATTTAAAACAATAGGCCATGTTTTATTACTAGAGGATCCAATGCAGTTATATATGCACACAGGCTTAAATTCAGCCCTGGTTTAAACAACCCATTCAAGTAAATGGAGTTGCATCTGCTCATCCCGGTCTTATGCTTTACCAGTTGTATTTTGAATAACCTCTAGGGGCAGTTCTAAATGTAGTACTTAACAGGAAACGCCAACTGGACTACCTTACCTCCTGGAATACTTAAAAAGAAGGAATGTGTGTGTTGTGGAGAGTATGGGGAAGAAAAGTATGGTGGACATTAATTAAACAGTTCAGGGCTGTCTTTCCTTTTGCATAAGCAAAATCCTAAGTGTGTACAATATCCCAAAAGAGAATTACAGCTGCTCCTAAATTTAGAAATAATTTGGCAATCAAAATAAGCATTCTTTTCCTATCAAATAATTTCAAATATGAACATCTTGCATCAATCCATTGTTGTTTATAAATACACCACGCTCATTAGCCAGCTGTATATATGTGGCATCATAGCCTTTGGCTCCATAAATACTGGTCTCCGCTTGCAAGCTAAAGGAACAGTTCCACTAGCTCAGCAGTTAGAGAAAACTGCTATACATGTGGCCATGTCTAGCATATTCCCTTCTGTATCAGGTAAATACATACAAGCCTCTCTTCTCCAGGGTGTTGCAATGAGGAGCTGGCAGAGATGGGGCAAATAGTAGAACATAATGTGAATAATCCACTCTCTGCAATAATGGCAAAGTGAGGAAACAATAATTTTTGAACATTTATAAATATATATAGGTGGGTAGTTTTATGACCATTTCCCTCATCCCTGTAATTTCTGAGCACTTCCCATGTATTTAAAAATAGAAATAACAATCAGTATGAGCTAGATACTTTGATATTCTTCCTTGTCTCAATGTACAGAGATGCGCAATTCCCTGCACACCAAGATGAAAATAAGTCCCCTTCAGTGTCAAATCTCTTGTCAAAATAAAGCTAATTAAAAAGAAAAATCACAGCTAGAAAGGCTAAAGGGAAAGGTTCTAGGGACTGTTAGTAGCTATGCTGCAAGTCATAAGGTGATATATTACCTGCTATTCCTATACATGCTAAGAATTCTTACATATCCATCGATCATTCATCATGGAAAGGTGAGAGTCCCAGAGCGTGTTTCTCGGCTAATAGTGTCAATGAATAACAATAAATAGTGTTATAACATCAATTCTGGAAGGATGGCCTGCAAAAGATGGTAATTATAGGAATAATGCAGGGTAACCAGATGGCTCCTAGAATACAGTTAGAATACTAGGATAAATTCATGGCACAAAACCTGCTAATAATACATGATAAGTTGTTACAGTGGTGCATAATAGAATTGATTTGTACTTTTTTCCTTTAAAAAAAAATCACCAAGGAACCTTCATGCAAAAAACCTACATTAAATGAAAATTAGGCTGGACAAAGGCTCAAGCAAGGAACTGCCATATTGACCAGGAACCCTTAATTCTGCCCCTTTATGCTTATGCATTATGATAAAGTCTTTATATAATCACATTTTTTCCCACAAGATCCTCCCATCATTCAATGCATAGGTTGGATGCACCAGGATGCAGAATGAAGGTTGTACTGGCTGATGTGGAATTGGTATTTTAAGTACTGGATTTTGAAACTTAAATATCTATCTGTTAACAAAGTTTTTTGTATGTAATAATATATACACATGCTCATACTTTGTGTGTGTGTGTGTGTGTGTGTAACTTCTATTTTATCACCCTTATTATGACTACTTATTAACAGAAACATGGCAATAAAATTTAACTATGGAAAAGATAAGATTGTAGCATCTGGATTAGCATATTAATGGCAGTTTAAGAGAGTTCTGGCACTTGGCATTTGAAATACATGAGGTATCTGTAAAGAAAAATAAATTAGAATCTATGATCATGGCATCTTTCTGCTGTAGGCTATACATGCAACAGAACAATTAATATGTGTGTGTGTGTGTGGCTGCCATGTTCCACACAATTTGTCATTCTTCAGCTGACTTATTTAATCACTAGCCAATTTGTCTAATGCTACCTGAATCTCAAACAGCTGTTTCATCATATAGCAGCTCCTTAAAGCCTCTGTTTTCACACTGAGGCAGGGAAGCCACTGCAGATATATTGTCCAGTTGTGACTTCCCTGACTTCACACAGAGAAGGATGGTCAAGACTGTGTGGTGGGGCAGAGAATGCTAAGCCAAAAGGCCAATGCAGGAGATCATGTTCTATTTTTTTCCCCTAAAGTAAACTAATTCTGAGAATGAAAACAAACAAACAAAAAAACTTTAAAAGACCAGCTCTTTAGCTGGTGTAAATCAACATAGATCCATTGATTTTAATAGAGCTATGTCACGTTACACTGACTGAGGCTACAGCCCTTTAACTATATCCTATCAAAGACCAAATATAAGTGGAATGCGTGGAACCAACTTCAGTTTTTATGTTGTGCTTTTATTACAGGAATACCAAATTGATATATTTTTTGCTCAGACATGGACAGACAGCCGCCTTCGTTTCAACAGCACCATGAAAATACTGACTCTAAACAGCAATATGGTTGGATTGATATGGATACCAGACACTATCTTCCGAAATTCTAAAACAGCAGAAGCTCATTGGATCACTACACCCAATCAGCTTCTGAGAATATGGAATGATGGGAAAATCTTGTATACTTTAAGGTAGGAAGTAGGAGTGTGTGGCTGAAAGTATTTGGTCTCTTTTTCTGCAGAGTATTTTTAGATGTTTTGGTTTGGTTTTTTTAACTTATTCCTAACTTATATTCAAATCTGTTTTAGGGACAGGCAAATTGATGCTGTTTAAAACAAATGACATGAATATTTGTCCAAAATTCAAACTAAGCCCCAAGCTAAACCATTTTTTAGGTTAAAAAAGCTTGCTTATTCTTTTTAAAACTTTTTGTGCCTTTCTTCACTTCCATATTCAGGAACCGAAAGCAGAAGTGTCAAAAATTCTACAAGAAAGGTTCCTCTCTCAGTGTTTGTAATCCAGCCAGAAGCATGTAATCCCAGAAATCTTGCAAGAGAAATAGTTTCTATAAAACTTCCTGACTTGGCTTACAGTAGAGCTGGGGAAAAAATCAAAATATTTTTGATGAAAAATGGCTTTTTGACAAAACAGAAGTTTGCGTGAAATGTCATTTTTTGGTCAATTGTTTTGTGTTTTCATAAAAAAACACACATACATCTTTTGGGTTGCTGTTCCAAGTAAACCAAACATTTTCAGTTTTAATTTTTAGATTCCCTACCTCATAAAAAAAAATCAAAGAAAAACTTCTGCAAATAATAAGAAAAAAACAATTTTGTTGAAATTTTTCAGAGGGAAGGGAAAAAACATTTCCCAGCCAGCTCTATTTTGGAGGGCAGATTAGCTCAGATTCGATTCAGGTATACACCTGGGTGTGTATTTGAACCAAACAGAGCCTCTGGAGACAGATTGATCCACTGTTTAGAGCACTGAATTGGACATTGGAAGACCTGGATTTTATTCCTGTCTGTGTCATTTTCTTATTATGTAATCTTGGGCAAGTCAAGTAATTACTCTGTGCCTCATTCTACCAATCTGTGAAAATGCTTTGAGTTCTGCAGAGGAAAAAAGATGCAAAATATATATTTAGAGATTCTTCCTCTGCTAGTATGCTCATGTTTAGGTGCATACTAGCATCAATGCCAGTTTCTATATACAAGTCACACTGGAAGATAGCACATCATATGTTTTGTCAAAAAGGGGAACTACTGGAAGAAATATGTTAGAGTTTATCTAAGCAAGACAATACCATAAAGTATATATTTGCATTAAAAGGGTGCATTTAAATAAAGAAAAATTGCTTTTATTCAGCAGAGGAGCTGAACTGTTCAAAAGTGGAATTCCACAATAAACAAGATTCCCTATACAGCAAACAATCTATCTGTAAAATATATCTTCCATGCTACACAGTTGCTGCCCTGATTGTATTCAACCTCCTCAGTGCATCGTCACGCTGATGATACTTGCATATGGAAGCTGAGCTTCAATGACAAGTGTCCCTATTTACAGACTGTCAAACAAGAAAGGAATACAACAGCTGAAAACTACCACTGAGGGTATGTCTACACTGGAATAAAAGACCGGTGGTACTGCTGTGGCTGGCCTGGGTCAGCTGACTTGGGATCTGGCTGCGGAGCTAAACTTTGCTATATAGATGTTCGGGCTCGGGCTAGAGCCCAGGCTCTGGGACCCTCCCCCCTCACGGTATCCCAGAGGCCAGGTTCTAGCTCAAGCCCAAATGTTCACACAGCAATTTTACAGCTTGAGCCCCACAAGTTTCAAGTCAGCTGACCCAGGCCAGCTGCAGGTGTTTAATTGCTGTGTAGCTGTATCCTACATGTTCTTTCAGTATCCTCCTTTTTTGAGGCTTTATCCAAAGCCCACTGAAGTACATGGAAAGTCTCTCAGTCACTTCAGTGGGCTTTCAAACAGGACCTTGATGAATGTGAGAAGATGCTCATTTGGTTAGTTTTTGTATGCACCCCCCTTTTATCTAACAATTTTTGGTGCCATATTTTGTGCCAAATTGTGCACTGTTACTTACGCCTGTGAAACCTCACTGAAGTAATGGAGTTTTATAGGTGTCTCTGAGAACACCACCATCTGTCCCATGGACTGCAAAAATATCTTACCATACGCTGTTAATCAGAAAAACATTTGGCCCGTGTCAAAGGGTAGACTGGGCTCTTTAAGAGGGAACTGGTCCAGTCCACCTGAGTCTCATTAACTGCCTTTCAATGGGGCCTGATAGAGGGCAGCTGTTGTCTATAAAGAGGAGAGCAGAGGACAGGAAGAGGAATCTATGGCAGAGAAGAGCTGCAGTAAGCAGAAGGCTCCTGTAGGAGAACCTGATTGAGAGAGGGTTTAGGGCCTAGAAGCCAGAGCCAGAAGGTTGAGCTCCAGCTAGGGGAGATGACAGAATAGCAGGAACTGCAGAGAAGGAGGAACTTCATGGATTGCCAGAGACAGGAAAAGATATTCCTGAGGGCAGAGACGAAGGCAGGCAGGGTAATTCCCTAATTTTATTGTAATTTTGATTCACTGTTTTTGGAAAATAAAGAAATCCCTGTCAGAATGGCCTGTGGAGTTTAACTGGGAGCCCTGAAGAGAGGGAAGACTGATGGGAGGATGCTGCCGAGCCACCCCACGTCACGGGGAGCTCAGTACCCAGCTGACCCTGTTACAGCCCTCCTTTGCTTAACTGAGCATTTTACATGTATGCAAGGAGTTCAGTTTCCAGTTTTACCACTCAACCTTTCCTCTGTGTACGAGGAACTCTATAAACCTTAATGTTCACAAGCTAGGACAGAAAACTCAGCAACAAGTAGGCAGTCTTTATTGTTGCAGACTATTGACTCTACAGAACTGTAGGTAAGAGACAGCTGTAGTACCTCCAATTTCTCCACTGTGGATGTCTCAGAAAGAACAGCCTTGAGTTGACTAAATTTCTAAATTCAAGAATCAGTGTACAAGTTTGTGCCAGGTCCTCCTCTTCTCTGGCCACTTTCAGGTATGCAACCTTGGAATCCTGTCCTGTTGTACAATTAAAACTCCTGGGCAGAGAGAACTAATTTACTTACAACTGAGCTTAAACACGATAGACATTTCTCTGGCTGTCAGCCCAAATTTAAGGCATCTAGACCTTCTCAAATCTAGTTTGTTTACCTTTTAATTAGTTTTCCTAAAATTTGTCATTTGCTGGGCAAACTCAGCAGTGAAATTAATATAGTGTCCATTACTTGAAAATAGCTTTCAAATAAAACTAATATATTATATGATCTAGTCAAATATATAGACTGACTTTGTAGTTTAATGGACTGAACCCCCTGTCTTAATGGTAATTTAAGAACTGGTCTTATTTGTAGTGTGCCCTGTGTTAGTAAACCATTTTAAACATCATTTTAAAATGTGGTAGATATTTTTGCAAACATTTGTGCTGGCCTATGTTAATTGGGCATATTTTTGTTACATGTATTTTAAAAGTTCTTTGATAAGAAGTGTAGATAGTAACTAGTTTAAAAATGGTCGCCTAATATGGGAGAAAGAATATCACCGATTGGGCTATTAAGTTTACAATGAAATACCAAGCAAAACCCATACAACACTGCATAAAGCTCTGTTTCCATGCATGCATGCACAGCCATATCACCCATTTCCGAGCATTTAATTCTGTAGCAATGCTTCAAAATTTCCCAATTGTGTCTTGGACAATTACCAACGATTACCCTACCATGTTCCTTTAACTTTTCGTTGTGCTGATTTATAGTGACAATTACCTGGTTTTTCCACAGACTCACCATCAATGCAGAATGCCAGCTGCAGCTACATAATTTCCCAATGGATGAACATTCTTGCCCGTTGATATTCTCTAGTTGTAAGTACTGCTTCAGTGCATATCTATTATACTTGAACCTTGTGGAGAGGCACCAGTTTGTCTCTAATTTCTGTCAGGTTGTTCAGGTTTTCCTGAACAGGTACTGGAAGCTGAGGTTTGCTTTTGATATTATCATATATATATGTGTTTTCGCTTCAGCATTCATGGCAGAAGTTTTTGTCGTGAAATGCCCCATGTAGAGTTATACCGCTAGAGCTCAAGCACCAGCATCTCTGTTTGCAGTCATAATTACAGTTTAACAAGGAGCAGATATTCACATCAGTCTGCTATGATGAGATGGTTATAAAAATAATGTAACATATATTTGAGAAGAGAAGCTACTGTATTATGAGATGTGCAGTTCAGATATAGGCTATATCATAACTACTCCTGTTTATTTTCCAAGCCAAAGATTAAAACTTCCTTTTAGAGAGATCAGTGTGTAAATGGTGCTCCTAAGGGCAGTTGTGAACTAGATGGAGAACTGATCTCCATCATCTCTGATGTCTGAGTTTATGAGAAATAGCATGGTAGTAACTTTGCCTCATAATTCAGAAATAGACTGTATCATTAGACGAAGGCTATTTTTTTCTTGTATTATTCAGCTGCATGGTAGTTCCAACTGGATTGTATTGTGTGTAATTTTGTCTATAAATGCTGTCATCATTGTGGGAGGTTGGCAGGAATCCTGTTGTTAACATGAACACCCCAGAGATGGGAGATGGCACATCTCAATTAACATTATGCTGCTGCAGAAATGTAATTACAAACATGATCCAAATGTAGTAAGTGATGTTTAAAAGGACAAGCATGGCATTTGGTTTACTGTATCTGACTCTCATCACAGGCTTTTTCCTTAATATCTTAAAAGTCAAGTTTTAGTGAGATTTTTTAGAAAAGAAAGTCAGGAATGTGAAAGCTAACCCATAATATCATCATGCTAGGTATTGTGTGTGTATGCAAATACCACGGGTCCCTACAAACATGGTTTATGACTTTCTAAATTGTTTTTAAAATTTGCTAAAGGCACATTCCTGATTGCCTCTGTACCCAAAAATAAAAGTTGAATGGTTTAACAAAAAAACAAAAAAAACCCCAGTTGTTTATCCCCTGAGGTGGGATTTGCCTTCTAAAGGAAGGGAATGTTCAGCACATTGAACATTCTGATTGTGTGACTCATGAGTGCTTAGTAATGAATCCAATTTCAGTCCTACTCTAACTGGTGTTCCCTTCCAAAAGGACAATTTTCTTCTGGCCAGGCTCACAGTTACTTAATTTTTTTTTTTAATGCAATCCGTAGTAAGGAGTGTGTTTATTCTCTCCTATTCATTCACCTGCACTCATATGCATGAAAAGTTTTGGGGAAAAGATTCTTTTTAGGATGATCGGGTGAAAAAGGCATTAAAAATGTATTTTTCACAGAGTACTCCCTCTTCCTGAAACAGATCATTCATCGTCAGTGATGTGCTGTCAATATTTTTTAAAAAGGGCTCTAACAAAAAGTGTACACTTTGATAAATCCTGTATCTCAGGGAATGTACCCTGTAGATAGAAGTGAAGGACTGGGAAAGCTATCATTTTCTTTTTCCTTTTAAATAATATCATTTTCCCATCATATCTATAAAATAAGTAGAGAGGTAACACCATTTGGTAAACACATTTATGTGATACACACTACTTTTTTCCCCCTGGGAAGTATATTGGTAGTGTAGAAGAGTATTCATCTTGTCCAGTTTGAAACAGGATTTGGAACCAAGTTCGGAGCATGGAGGTATTTTCCTCCCACAAGGCAAATGTTTTGGGGGGGAAAAGACAGTGCAATTGATTCAATTCCATTTTTAAAAAATGAACTTTCGAGTATTTTTATGAGCTCGATGGATATGTAAATCCTGGGCAAAAATGCTTTAGGACATACAGCTTGTGAGCCAGATTCAGCCCATTTGATGTATTCAGATTGTGTAGAATCTAACTTGTCATTAAAAATAAAAAGTAATCTTCCAAATGTTACTAGTGCTGAAATGTCTTTGAGTCTGTAGACAGCCTGAAACAATTACTTAGATTTGTTAACTCCCCTGTCTATATTAATCTCACTGGAGTGTCAACTTTAAAGTCCAATGATAATGCTATATTGTCAACATGAACTGCTTTATTGATGATCATTTTAGTGAATGGAATGGGAGAGGAGGTGGGAGTTAAGCCCACAAAGAGGTGGAAATAGGGAGAGAACAGAAAAATAGGATGGGAAAGAAAGAGAAATAATGGACAAGATTGTAGCAGTTCTACAAGGGAGCAGATTTTCCCAGAGAAATTGAATGCGACAATAAGTTACTCAACAAACAAATAATAGTTTATATAGTACATAAAGTCCATATTTTACCCTGGATCTTTGTGTAAACCTCCCATTGCTATCTTGCTGAAGGTAGTGTGTAGTTTTAAATGTATACCCCCGCCCATGGACCATAATCAAAAATGGAGTTTGGTTCTCGCTGCCAAATGAGTTTGACACCCCAGCTTTATCAATATCCAGAGAAGATGGCCAACTCTTGACAGGCAGAGAAATCATCCTAGTCCTTTCTTCAGTTTGGAGGCATAATAACTGTTGGGGGCAGCTCCAGAAAGCAATTAAGCTGTATTCTGTGCCACTATCTTATTTCGAGTAACAACTCTTCACTTTGCACTGAATAAGATTTGAACATCAGAAGGTTCAGGCCCATAGCTAAATTTTAAACTTGATCTTGGCCTGACTTGTTTTATCATAACTTAAATCTTTTAGACAAAAAAATCTTTCTAACTTTGGGTGCATGCATGCAACACCATCTGAGGAAATGGCAGTTATATGGGCATAGTCAAGAGTTTTGTTTGTCTCAGTTTTACAGTTTTCTTGATGTATGCAAATAACACATGAAAAACTATAACAAAATGATTCTGCAACTTTCTCACCTGCTCTAATAATGCCGTTCACTAGAGGTTATTTTTAAGTTATCAAGTGACATTCCTTTCCCTGAAGGCTATTTTATTGCTACCTTTAGCACTATCTTAGCACTTCTTTTGTAAATTTTCATGTAGAACATCTCAGGGATTTGTTTGTGTTATAGCTTCATTATATTTTCAGTGTTATGTACACACATTGCAATTTGAAGATACATGACGCTCCAGAGGACTTATGAGGTGAATGGCTGAATGATTTATTACTGTCAGCTATGCCAAATTTCCAAGGGGAGGACCTTATTACAAATTTAGATTCCACAATGTGTTGTCTTGTGAATAAAACAAAAACCTAAATGGTTGTAGAATTTACAGCAGAATGCCCATGTGCGTGCACACAATTGAAAGTTAAATTGCAGGCAACCACAAAAAACCTACTCACACTTCATATACTATAACCTATCCTGCTGCACAGACACTTGAACATTAACTATGTTAATATCTAAAACTTAGCACCTTTTCTAAACATTTCCTTTAATTTTTACCAAATACATTTTAGACTGAGCTAGGTCCTTGCAAGACCTTCTGACTCCTAGCCTTTCTCTTATGTTGGAGTCAAATGGTCTGGTTGCCAGGAAGAGTCAGAAGAATACAGTGGGCTGGATGGGGCCATTTTACTGTGCTAATTTAACTTATTTTGATTACTAGCTCCTAATCATTCCCTCTTGTTGGAAAACCCATGGGAGGAGGAAATATTAGCTAGAAATGCTGCATAGTTCACTTCATGGTATTCCCTTCTCTCTCACCTCTGAAGTGGTTTCTGAACTCATTTGTGGTTAGTGATGCAGCAGAACCTAGAGCACTGCAGGAAAACAGGCTATAGCCCCATGAACTGGAAAGATAGTAGTTCCAGGAGCCAATTCCCTGGGTACAAGCCTGTGGCATTTCCAAGGCAACTCCTGGTCCCTGGGAATCATGCTGCCTTCCTTTAATGTATAGGAATTGGGCAGTATTCCTTTAATTAGCTTTGACCCTCACTGTCTTCTATGTTTCAGATGCCATCGAACCTTGCCTGAGAAGCCAATGTATATATGTAGCCAGGCCTTGCACGTTGTATATAATTAGTAAATATGGTTATTAGGATCTCAGTGTGCCTTTGTGGTTCTTTCATAATAAGGTTTTGTTTGTGCGTGTAAAAAGCAAAAGGCACAAAAAAACCCAAACCCCTGCATGCATCTCTACTTCCTGGGATGGGGCTAACGGTATTGAAGGGGAGTTAAAACTGCTTGGAAAAGCATTAACTTCTGTGTGGATTTCCTGTTGGAAATCTACCTGGTTAGAAGAGGAACAACCTTTTACCCATCAACATCTTCCTGCCCTACCTTAATAAGATGCCTGTGATGCCTTCCACAGGCTCTGGAGAGATTAGAAACATGTACTGGAGCCATATACCTCCTCGCCTCTTCCATCCTCCATCTCCCAAAGCCGGAGCTTTTGCTCTTCTCGGCCAGTGTAAGCAGAAGGAGCATTCAGCCTCTTGCATTTTTTAAACATTAACAAATACAATAGTAGCCAAAAGAAAAATGGCATAGGTTATCTCTGGCTACTCCCTGTTCCTCAGGACTTACCTGGGGCCATGTATCAAGGAGGCTTCTTGAGCTTACCGTTCATCTATATGCTCAGCATGAGCTTGCACTTGCTCCACCCTGTCTGGCAGATGCACATGACTGCCAGCAGCCATACCATATGGCAGCTGATTGTTCAAGAACCAACTGTAGTATATAGAGTGTCAGAAAGTGCAGGACTGTGCGTTTACTGCGTCATTAATGTCTGGAACAATCTGTGTGGCAGAGTTTGAAGATTTACCACTTTTAGAAATATATCTGAGCTGGAGACTGAGCCAAGAATAATGTGAGATATACAAATAAAGAGCTATCTCACTGGGCTGATCTGATTATTTTTTTTTTATTAATTTATTGTTTCCTGTTGTTTTTGATCCACATAAAGCCATGGTGGTTAATTAAAGGAATATTGGCGTTTGTGGAACAAAAACACCAACCAAATTGCCTGTTGCC